GGAGCGTTGCGTCACCTTTTCTCACCATGGCCACGCTCTCTTGGTTCTGCCCTTCAGAGGTCACGGTTGCTTTCCTTCTCTCCATCGCCTCTCTTCTGTGTTTTCCCCTTTTATCTGATTCGTGGTTCCGCATTTGCTCATTTCTTGATTCGCGTTTTTGATATTGACTTCTACTTACATTCTCAATGCCGCATGTGTTTTTTATATCATGTATGTTCGAGTATTTTACTCTCGTCTTACCTTACTTTTCCGAAGCAGAAAGTTCGATGCAAAGTTGACGTAGTTGTTTTTTAGTGATGTGCCGTTCAGACACACGTAATGCTATTTTCTTTCAATTCAACTTTTCTTCGCTCACTGATGGGCTTCCTCCAGTTGAATTGGTGTTTCTTATTCCATGGATACGCTCCGACCGTTCACTCATCCGTTCACCCGACTTGATTGCTAGGGGAACATCTGTTTTCCTTGCTAAGTAAAGACTGTTTTTTTCTACTTCACAATTCACTTTTCTGTTATCAATCGTTTGTTTTGTTTTCAATTTATTTGTGAAACACACGAGGCGCATCCTAAACGTTAGTTTTCTTAGTTGGCCAAACGCCTCCTAGTGGGACTGCTGCAGAAAATGAGAGCTTCGTTGTAAGCCGAGCCCGTATCTGGCCGACCCTTTGACCACCAACCCTTTACTGTCCGAATCTTGCCTTAAGCGATTACCATATCAGGTTTTTCATCTACTTTCCCTGATCCTTCGAGAAAATGCTGATATGTCCCCTTGTTGTGCTTCTGGACATAAGTGTCAATTCACTGTCTGTGTTCGTCTTTTAGAGTTCTGTGGGTAAAATAGTTCTCCAAATTATCGCTCTCCATGTTCTCACGGCAGGGCGTTCACCACGATTCCTTAAACGAAGGGCACGAATAGGGATAATAGCCAAACCCTGAAGGTGATTAGCCATTTGCAATTAGTTTTTCTTTTTTACTGTTACGTTATAGCTTGTTGCTGCCTTCGATGCGGAGCTCGATATTCACTGCACAACATACCTGCGTCGAGGGAGCTTACCTCTTATGGAGGGAATTATGAAGGGGAGTAATGCGCGGAAAATATGAAAAGACAAACCGGGTCAAGCTAACGTGTAGTTAATTAGTAAATAAGTAAATCTGAATCAATAAAATAGGTAAAAATAAAATTATGTATCACGGGCGTTAACTGATTCTAATGATCTCGGGGCGACAAAAGCTTCGAACCAAAGGCCTCCGGACATTTTCTTGCTCTCGATCATTAGAATTTTTACAACACTCTTCGTGCATAAATAACTATTATTACACATTGCAATTTTCTCATCAATTCTTCCCAGAAATGCTCATTTTATCTGTATTCAGAATTCAACTTGTTTATGGGTTAGAACAAAAAAATGCCAGAATTGCAGAAAACGTACCCAGAATACAATTCTACTGATAGCACATCGCACACAGTTTTTAACTGTTTTTGACTTTCAGTAAATAAATATTTTCTTACACCTCGAGCAATTCCTATCCGATCAGACAACATTACGCGTATCACAGAGACTCTTGAGTTGACAGAGGCTGTCAAAGAACGGCGCTTATCCCAGGCGGCAGACTTCGAGGGCAGAGGGATACAAACGTTGATTCCACTGTATGACTAATGTCTCCATTCTGATGGTGATTATGTGAGAAAATTGTGTGTTCTGTGCTGTATCTGCTACAATACAATTCTTCCATGAAATTGCGTTTTATTTTTGTTGACGCAGGGAAACAAACTTTCTGGAAGCGTTGTGCAATTTCAATAAATTTATGGTAAATCAAAGCAGATTGGTTATTGGGTAAGCTTGGTCCTTTTAATACACGGCCCCGCCCTGCCGGCTCTCGGTCGGTCGTGTGTCCGCCCCATTATGCACGCGGTGGCGGTGGCGGGCGTCCGCCGCGGGGCGAAGAGGAGCGGGAGATGGCGGGCGGAGACGATGGGGCTGCGCCGCATTAAAATTCATGGC